GTCCCGACCCTCCAGAACATCTACTTGCCTGCCTGCCTAGTCTCTGCCTTTGGCACATCTCTTTTTTGAGTTATCTTCCCACCCATTCTTGGCTGCTCCTTTTTAGCTCAGGGAATGAAACCCATGGCAGAGTCAGGGAAGTGGTGTTGCTGCCATCCTCTGCCTTGATGCCTTTGGAAAAGGAAGTTTTCCAGAAACAATGCAGATCTTCGCAGGTGGGTGCTCCTCTCCTGGAAGCTCAGCTCCCTGCCTGCACAGGCTCTGCTGCAGCTCACACACCACCAGTGCTGCTTGGCTCATCTTCACATCGTCTCTGCCGAGCATTTTGTGGCCCCGGACTACTTCAGGATGCCATTAGCTTCTTCATTAGGAGACAGTGGGAGAAGCTGATGACAGCTAGCCCTTTAGCTCGCCAGCACACAGACACCTCCCCCCTCAAAGGTGCATTTTCTCACGTGTGGGTGGGGTTTCACCATCACACCTGACCACACAGCAGTGGGAGCAGCTCCTGGGGGTCCCCTGTGAGAGGTTATGTGCACAGGGCCACCCAAAGCAATTGCAAAGCTTCCTCATTCCTGCCCAAACACCTGCATCTCCACATCTGATGGTCCCTCCCTATCTGTCCACGGCAGGACATGATCATGAAGTTCCCTCCCATGGTGTGTCGCTACAAGCCTGGCAAACTGCTTGAGACTGCAGCCATTTCTCTCAGACATCACCTTTCAACCAACAGACTCCTGACAGCCATTGTGTTAACATATGGCCCATAGTGCTATTTTGACGGAGAAACTCCTGTCTGTCCCCTCCTACTTCCACATAGCCCAACCTGCTGTGCCATCCTTGTGTTGCATCATCCCAACTCTGGCATTTTAATGCAAGAGCATTGAGGGATTTGGCACATGAGGCACAGCTGATGCCACACAGCACCTGGAGCTCCTCATCTCCTTCCCAGAAGGTAGAGAAGGAAGCCACTGTCTGGTCACTTTGGCAGCTCTCTGCCAGGGCCTGCTCAGAGATGCAGTTTGCCTTGGCTGACAAACTTACCAGAAGAATCAGAAATGTCAAAATTGCCTTCTGCTCCACAGCAGGTCTACCAGTGATTTGTTTTTCTCTAGGCTGGGCAGCTGCAGGATATGCTGCTTTCTGCAGTTTTAACTGTCATTTTCTCCTGATTTTATTTTTGGACCCGCAGTTCAGACGCATCTTCCATTTACAGATAGGGAAACAGCAGTTCTTTTCTCCCCTGCACACCTACCTTCCCCCCAGGATACTTAGAAATGTGCCTTATTCCCCAAAAGGCTCTCTGTATTTTGTAGTTGAAAACAGCTGCTGCTTCAGGAAAAAAGGCCATGGGAATGAATGTGATTTCTCCCCTTCACGACCACCACATCCAGCAGTGATGGAGGCTGAACAGTAGGTCAGGACAGGGTGATGCCATCCTGAGTGAGCAACCATGCCCCAGGGAAATGGGGCACTTTGTGCCTTTGGATAAAGGAGATCCCTCGTACCTTCACTTGGCACGGCCTGTGCTGCAGAGTTTCTTCCTTAGGTCCCTTGCTGAGGCTTTTCCTCCTCTCTCCAATCACAACCCTTAATGCCCTCACAGGGCTGCAGGCAGCTCTGTGCTGGAGCAGCTGTGGGTTGTCACCTTTGTCGCAGGGGCAGTGGCAGCAGGGCCACTGCAACAGGCAGCAGCTGAAAAAGGGTTTTCTTTCCTGGGTCTGTAAGCAATTGCTGCTTTACACTCCATATTTTTCTGTTTGGGAAAACCAGGGTTGGGACACATGCTCCAAAAGCAATCTGAAATCACATTTAACAGCTAGGGCTCTATGCACTGTGCCAGAGCAGAGGTTCAAAGGGTGTGGGGGGAGAGTGCCTGTAGTCTGCCATTTGGAGGGATCTATTAGGAAAAAAAAAAGGCAATAAAGAAATACCAAACCCCCCTGTGTCTTGTAGGCACAGCCTCAAGCAAATACACACGAAGTCACAAAGGAGAGGGAAATGCCTGCACTGATGTGTCTGTCCCCAGCCAAAAAATATATGCTGAGGGCAATATGCACAGACTAAAGAGGGACGAATTGGAACGATGTAGCTGGACCCAAAACAAAGTTCTCAAGGATATGAATTCCCCAATTGGTGAGCATCTGTGTTCCAGGTCCTGAACAACCCAGCACTGCAAACAAAATGGACAATCAAAACCAGGGACACCTGACATTTCACTCATCTGGGCAGAACAATAAATGGGAGTTCAGATTTCAGGGAATAGCATTTAACCTGGATACCCTGCTGCCTGGATGAATACTTTAACCACTGCTGAGGACATCTTCCCCTCCTGTTCTGTTCCATTCCTGCCTCCATCACTGAAACTACACCTTGCAAACTCAAGATGAGCTTTCTACCAAGAAACCTGGTAAATTAACTGTCTAGCTATAAACTCTCTTGATCCTACTTGTTTCCCTTTTCTTCTTCAGGGTGGAAAACAGCGAACCATATCATTTCATTTCACTGACACCAGCTGATAAAATAATCCTGACATTTGCTTGCTGCAGATTAAAGAAAGCCCCAGCAATTGCTGAAAAACCTGCAAGTTGTGGTTCTGTCAATGACCACCTTTATCCCCTATCACTGTAGTACGCTAATGTTTAACATTGGCTATCAAATTTCCCATCCTCAATAATTAGCAGGAAAGTGTTGATCCAAAGGTGTCATCACAACAGCCAAGGAAAGGAATTTACTCTGTCTGCTGCTGACATAAAGGGACACAGCCTTGTGCAGCAGGAAGAATTGCCTAGACCATGTTTGAGTTCCCAGCATGTGCTGGGGCTGTTGACATAGGGACCAAAATTTGATGCAGTGAGGAGGATACCAGACCATTTGGCACAGGAGACACCGAAAAGAAAATTACGTAGTTTTCAGAGCAACAATTTTTGGCCAGCGTGGCTTGAACTGGGACAATACCAGTAGAAAACCACCCAAGAAACAGTTTGTTCATACACTGCTTACTTTTAGCTCTCCAGCCAATCTAAGATGTGAATTTTCTGAGTTTACTTTCACCTGACACATGAAAGTGCTTTATGAACACTGACAAAAAGTAACATTCAGTTTCTGTCCCCCAAAGCTAAACAGCTGGAACTGGGAACAGCTAGTGACATTTTCCTCTGCAGGGGAGCTAGTCTAGTCAAACGCAAAAGAATCAAGAGAGGAGTTTCTAATGATCACACAACCCCTAATAGTACAGATTATCATTTCAACTCAGCTGCAAGAAACCATGTCTACATGAAATGCTATTCGCATAAACTACTCTTAGCCAGGCCAAGCCCTGCACCCATCCCACTCCAGAGGGCAGCTTGATGCTGACTTCAGGGAGCCAGAGGTCTGGTTCCCAGCTCTGTGGGAGTAGGACCAAACTCACAGCCAAAAACCTGGCATAGCAACCAGGAGAGCTGCCCAGCTAAAGAGTTGCCTACCTTAAGTCCCTGGTCTGCAGACAATTCTCCTCCCTCAGGCACTGACTGCTCACCCTGAACACAAGACAACAACTTTGACAGGAAGCTCCAGCAAGACTTTATTCAATGGTATACAACAAGAAGAAATTAGGGTGAAAGAATAATTGTATACATTACTGACTTCTCAATTGCTAAAACAAACCCATAGTGACAAGAACAGTTGAGTCTGATGACATGACAAGAAGTGTGGTGACCATCTCTCTAGTGCCCATACCTGCAAACAGAAAACATGTTAATACTATCTACAAATTCCATTTCATATCAGTGCTGATTTAGACAGATTTCTCTTCATTCTACCACAATGTAATGCACATGCAAATGGGATGAAGGTGAAACGCTGAAATCTTAGGAAGGTCTCCACATTTCACTTCCCCCAAAAGTCTATCCAAACACCAGTTAGAAGAGAGCCTGAGCAACCCACAGTACCAGGTGCAGGAGATCCTCATTATCGCCATCTTTTGCCCTGAATCCCACTTCAAATACATCCTGCATGCGAACAAGGCCAAAGCTTCTCACAGCCACAGCAGCAATGCTGAGCACACATAAGATGTTTCATGTTGCCATTTGCTGCCTGTGCAATTTTGAGTCACTGGGCCAGGGCACATGGGCTCAGTTTTCATTGACTGTTCACTAAAACATCTTAGTATCAAAACTATCGTAGTCAAGTTGTCATGTCAATGACAATTTGCACAGCTGCTTGTGAACCAGATCCCAAGACAGTCCTCAGTAGCTGTAATGTCTGTTTTGCTACGTTTTAATCTGGACTCTGATTAGACTTAATTAATTTTTTTTAATAAAAGGTGTGGGGAGAGGGACAATCCACAGTTAAGAGAAGACTCATGGAGAGATGGTGCAGAATGATGCAAGTGACAGGTGAACTTCCTAGCTATTCTCAACATACAATTACCCCTCAAAACTCCACCACAGTCTCCTACTATTACTCTAACAACAGACCTTTGAAAAACACAAACCAAAAATTATGAGTAAATGGGCCAAAGCTGCAGCAATGGCTACATGGGCACTTGATTTCCAGATGCTAGAAAATGAGCTGTATTAATCTCGGAGGCTATCAGAGTTATAAATCACCGAGATAACAGAGGGACCCAGTAAGATGTCTGGCACCTCCGCAGAAATGCTTTGGAACCCAAGCAGCTAAATTCAGGTCATTCTCAAATTGCTCAGGCAGCAGCTTAGTATTCACCCGAGGCTCCATTTTTAGTGAATCCCATTTCTCTTCTGCTCTCTGTTCTTTAGGGAGGATGTCAGTAGAAATCACTAGTTTTTAACAGCTCCCACTTACCCCACAGCTGTTTTGAGTTACTTCAGAGCTCATTTAGCACCAGATGACTACTGAAAGGTCCCTAATACAGCAAGATGAAGGAAAAAAACCTCTCCCAACAGCAACTATGCCCTCAGACCCACAAATCTGACATTGACCATTTATCTTAACAGAAAGACAATTGGATTTTTCATCTTGCAACCTGTGCAGGATACCTACTTTTGGAACTCCCATTCCCTGTTGTCCAGTGGACATACTTGGCGAGTTTTGAGCCAGCGAGAGATGCAGTGGAAGTGGAAAGCATGCTGGAAGAGAAAGGTCAGATCACATCATTTCAGAGCACATCAAGGTATCTCAATGTGAAAACAACCACTGAAAGCATCAGGGCAAGAAAAGAGTTGCAAGCATTTGCAGGCAAAGGGTAGGGAGTGCTGATCAGCCAATTGGCTGGTGAACACCAAGGAACTGATCCACATTTTCAGAGAGGACAGAAACATCAGTGAAATGGCAGCAGGGAGCCTGTTCCACAGGGCATGCAGTGACAACTGACTGACTTCTGATGAAGGAGAGAGCACAGAGTTTAGGAGCTGCTAAAATTGGCAGAGCAGATGCTGATAAGAAGCGTAATCAGAAAGAAAAGGAAGAGGATTTCAGGGTGAGTAGCAGGGATGATATGAATGTATACATGCTGAAGGAAGCTTTCTGTCAGTTTTCAGGAGAAACCAAATCCTGAATAAAAAGGAATTTGCAAAATTAGAAAGCAAAAAAAAATAATCTCTATTACTTGTTTGATAAGGACATCCTTTTTCATACCCCACAACAGCTACTTAGAAACAAGTTCCACTTGTGGTGACTCTTGAGCACAACAACATAATTTTGACACTGGAATATTCTGACAGGTTTAAAAAGTTACTCTTGTTCTCTGCAAACAGAATTGCAACATTTATAACCCTGTTCCAGCATTATCACACTGCAACTTAATCCCACAGCATCGTGAGGATGAGACTGAGGAACAGGAAGTTATTCTATTATGGAAAATTGTATCTTCCAGCTCAGGCCCAGGCTAGCTAAGAGGTAGTTGAAAGGAGTGCATACAGCAACACATTGGAAAAATTGGAGATGAAACACTAGAAGGAATTTGATCTTCCTCCAAAATGAGAAGCAAAACACCTAGTTAGTCCATGACTCCCTGAATCTGCCTGCTCAAAGATAAATCAAGCATCCAAGTAATCCAACTACTAGGGAGGGAAAAAAAAAAAGGCATAGCTCCTAGGCAAACCTTGATCAGGAAAATCATGCTCAGAATGAAAGATCTATTATCCTTCAAAAAAACACCCCAACAAAAGTCAAGGCCTATCGACTTCCCTTTGCTTCTGTGTCTTCCTTATTACACCTCTCCACCTTTCACTTTCTTTTATTTTCTTTTCTCTCTCCTTTCTACATTCTACTAAACATATGGAGTTCAAAGTCCTTATTTCTGGTGGACAGGGGGATAGTGTCACCACACGAGCTCCACAGTAGAACAGTTCTCCTTACATTGCAGACACCCCATGCAACTGTGCACTCTTCAGAGGTAGCTGATGCTTGGTTTGCTTGACATTCTATGCCTGTGAAAATAAAGATTAAACACGTTTATGCAGGAGCAGAAGATGCACATGCAACATCAACTGGTAAATTTCTTCGTAACAGCAAGTTGGGGCAGAGAGGGAAGAGCTCTTTGTTTTGCTGCGTTTATCACATCAGAAAGTGTCCAGAGCTGTGGTTTAATGTGTGCTCTTTTTCCTAAAGTATCAGGTCAAAATAGCCTTAATCCTGATTTCCTCCTTCCTCTATGTTTTTTAGAATTCCAGTGTTCCAGAGGGCATGAGTACAGAGCTCATCTGCTGGCAGTGTGTGTCTGCTCTTCAAATTTCATGGATAAATACTTTCAGTTTTTCCCTCTTGTGCTTTCAGAGATATCTTTTGACATCAGCTGAAGGAGCATTTACTTACACTTCTTACCTAGGTTTCTCTCAATATAAATAAACTGTCTTGTCAAACACTATGTACTCTATTCACAAATTAATTTGCTCATGTAATGCTGGGGCTTGGCTGTCTTTTTTCTATTGTCTCGTGACAGGTAAGTACACCCCAAAAATACATATTAGGAAATACAGTTTAAAAATGTATGGTTTAGACCTTTCATACCCTGGAGATAAGCAGTCAGAATGATTAAAAAACCCCCCATTGTTTATGGGTCTGGGGTATGGTTTGGGCTTTTGTGTCAGGTGGGGGTGAAGGAGATGAAAGGTGAGGAAAGAAGGAAGAACAGCACTGAGAAAATAAATCCATCAACCTAGAGCCTCAACAATTCACTTCTGCTTCAGCTCAAGTAACTTCAGGAGAAAAAAAAAAAAGGCATTTACCACTCCTCCACAGTCAGCAACTCAGAGCTATGAGACCAACACTTTACTGCCTGCTAAAGGATGCTCTCTTTCAGAGTCAAGCTCAAATGATTTAAAAAGACAAGCTGATAGATGGTCAGCTTAGAATTCAATACATGAGCTTGTTGCTTTCTTGTTTTGCAGATGCTTTTTTTTCCTGACAATGAAGATATCTGAATGAGCTCCAATTCTCTGTTCACTGGTTGTGTCCTCAAATCTGCCCAGAGGAAAAGGACTTTGATCTACCAACTAAAGATTCAAAAACTTTCAAACCCCACAGGTCTGGCTGAAAAATGTGATCTTGGTTTGCTCTGTCCTATTCATCCCTTTCTCCATTTTTCATGCTTTTCAGGTGTGGAGATGAATGAAATAAAAGAAAGGCTCATTTTTTCTGAGATGTGAGAGAGGTCAGTTACCCTTGGTCATGAGGAACTACTCAAACAAGACTGAGGTCTAAAGAAACTCTGCAGCAACAGTTGTTCTGCATGGTTTACATCAAGATACGATATAGCACAGCAGGAAGTCCAAAGCTCAATTCCTTGACTGCCTATAGAAAAGAACAAAACTCAGTACGCCTGAAATGTCCGATGTCTTAATTTCTGAATCTCTCCACACATAGGGCAAGAAAATGGAAGACACTCTGAAAAACTTCAGTTACTTTGGATATTTGTTTAAAATTGAACACCCAAGATTGCTGCACCAAGTTTACTGCTTTGGCAGTATAGGCTCATGGTCATGGGGAATGTTATACTACAATTTAAATGTTTGACAATTTGTCTGTACAGTGACACTATATGGTGAAAAGACAAGTAATAGGAAAGGGTGAGGAAATTCATCTGAAGGGAGAAAAGTCAAAGGGTAAGTCTAACTCAGGAGGTCTCTACTGAAAGCAAGGAAAATACTCCAGCACACAATATACGTATCTGTTTCTTCTTACTGTGCTCAGTTCTGGGGCCCTCAGCTCAGGAAGGATATTGAGGTGCTGGAGCAGGTCCAGAGAAGAGCAACGAGGCTGGTGAAGGGACTCGAGCACAAGTGCCATGAGGAGAGGCTGAGGGAGCTGGGGTTGTTCAGCCTGGAGAAGAGGAGGCTCAGGGGAGACCTTATCACCCTCTACAGCTCCCTGACAGGAGGTTGTAGTCAGGTGGGGGTTGGTCTCTTCTCCCAGGCAACCAGCAGCAGGACAAGAGGGCACAGACTCAAGCTCTGCCAGGAGAGGTTTAGATTGGATATTAGGAAGAGATTTTTTACAGAGAGAGTAATCAGGCATTGGAATGGGCTGCTCAGGGAGGTGGTGGATTCACCATCCCTGGAGGTTTTCAAGATGAGACTGGATGTGGCACTTAGTGCCATGG